CAAATTCTGCATTGATGACATGATGAGAAACAACTGTTAGAATGAGGTTTTTATATTTTAACAGTTCCTGAAATGTTGAAACAGCCTGAAATTTCAACGTGAGAAAAATGTGCAGGAAGTGTTTCATATATCAGGCTAAAATCTCAGTTTAGTTTAGGATAATAAAAAAAATTCAAGGACATCAGAAACAGTCGAGCAGAAGGCTCCTGATGATCTGAGATGAAACAAACGATCAGTAAAGATTTTTTTGTTGTTTTATTTCCATGTTAACAGTAGATTAGCTGTAAATCTTCAGCTTGGTCACCGAAATATGTGAACGTTGAATGATTTTCTATTAGTTTTATCTTGGAAAGTGTTTGATGCATCGAGCTAAAATTATAATTAAAATATCTGTTTTTTATGCTGTAAAACTTTCAGGTGAATCGGAGACGGTTGAGCAGAAAATGTTGTAGAAACCAGATGATCAACTGTGAAAACAAGCGTCCACATGATGCAGTTTGATGTCGCGGCTTCGTTCTCTGGAGGACGTTAAAGTGATTCTGGGAAGTGTAGGAATATCTCAAACACACACATATATATATACTGTATATATAGAGAGAGAGAAGTGCAGCAGCAGGAGAGCGAGCGTCGTCCCAGCAGCGTACTTCCTCTTCCATTTACTCAGCAGCATTATCACCTCGCTGCTGCTCTTTCCGCCGAGGGAGTAACGCAATTACTGCGAATCGCTCCCTTCCTCCACTTAACTCCAGCGAGTTGTTAAAGCGCCGAGCGGGTGAACTCTGTTTACAATAATCCCGCTCAGAGAATTCATGGGACACATAATCAATGGAAACGACGTAAAAACATGCCGCCGTATATCACGTGTGTCCCCAGATTAAATCAAAGCTTGTAATCTGAGTGATGTTCTGCCTGTAATCCATCTGTTCCCCAATAAGTTGGGCAGTTTTACAGGCGCACGTAAAATTACAATCAACGTCCTGTTAGTTAATGTTTCGCCTTTACGTCACGGGGAGTCGGTTTTCTAGAAAATGAAATACGTCCGTGCTGAGGTTTTACCTCTAAATCAGCTAAATGTGCACACAGAGTTATAGCTGCGAAGTAATTAAGCTCCTGTCGAAACGAGCAATCAGTAGGTCCAAAAGGGATCGTTTACTGCCTGAGAAAAATCTACAAAACGATGTTAAACTGTTTTATACAAGTCATGAAAAACCGACGACAAAAGAAATAAGAAGCTAACGGCTAACAGCAGCATCTGCACTGTCGTTTTTAAATAGTTAAAACAAGCCTTTAGCACCACTTGGATTGATTTTGAATACTGAAAACTGAAAATACACTGTAAAAAAAAATAAAAATAAATCCTGTTTAAAAGGGTAAAAATCTGGCATCATGGATGACAGGTACAGAATCTTTAAAAAATGAATAATAATAACAATAATAACAACAACAACAATAATAATAATAATAGTAATAAATGATGGAATACTGTAATGTTCAAAAACTATTTAAAAAATTGTAAAAAATAAAATTAATAAACAAACAAACCAATCAAATTCTGTTCTTTTGTGTGTAAAGGTGTTTTTTGTTTTTTTTAATGATGTCCTGTTTAGCGTGTTCAGCACATTTACTGTTTTAATTAATTCCAGATGTGCTCCACTGCTGTGTTGAAGGCAGTAGCTGACGAGGAAGCAGACGACTGACAAACCGGGTATTTTAGAGTTTGTCATTATTCACATTTTAATTAGTGTATATTTTAATATTTATTTTGTAATAAAGCATTTTTATGATTGTTGATGTTCGTTTCCCTCCAGAGCTCCGTGGTCCATTCGCTGCTCTTGTTGGGAATCATTTGTTTGTGTAGTTTATTTGCTTTTTGGGGGGTTTCCTTGCTTTTGTCTCGTCCGTCCTGGGCAAAAGGAGATGGGTGATGTTTGTTTGTTTGTTTGTTTATTTTGTCAGCTTATCACCTGTACCCAGTATATCCAGTCCAGCAGTCAGGGAGGGCCGAAGGTGTGCAGTAAATACAGTCACACATGTGTAACTGTGTGTTAACTGTTCTGGAATACAGAAGAGTGCAGTGGTGTTATGGGAACTATCCCCCATCCTGTAGCAGACTTGGGAGTTAAACTGGAGTCGGGTACGGTGAAGGTAAATGTCGTATGGACTGACTTTATCACTGGACTCCAATAATAAAAGATTCTATACTATTTACCCCTTTGTGAGGCTCGTCTCTGAGTGGGTGTAACACAAACAAACAGACAAGAAACAGTACAAATAATAACAAATGTCTGTTTATAGTGGAGTAAAATGGTTGTATTTTAAAGTCACGCCATAAAAGAAGACAAGACTACGTGGAAAAATACAGATTTTTAAATTGGGGGTTATGTACGGCTTATTTCTTCAGATCACTGTGTCAATTAAAACTTTTCTGTAACGGAACAAAACTGGGGAATCTGTACAATAACATTAAAATATTACGACTTTTTTTTTAGTCATTTATTTTTCTACTGTAAAAAAATATAATTTTTTAAAAATGCAATAAAAATGGTGTCATTTTAGAGTCAAGCGTTGTTAAAGAACTAATTATTTATTGTCTATCTTTCTGTAAATGGGACCATGATTTGAGTTTCAGCAACGATCTGAAAAAGTGAACCACTGACTTGTTTGGAGGAGAGACGGTGACCTTAAGAACACCAAACCTACAGTCAGGCATGGAGGTGGCAGCATCATGCTCAGGGGCTGTTCTGCTGACAGTGGAGGTCTGGTGCTTTACACCAAGTAAGTAAACTGAATAATGAAGAAGGAGAATTACCTCCACGTTTTCAAGAAAACCTAAAATCATCAGTCAGAAGGTTGATCTTGGATCCGTCAACATAGTCACCCCAAACAAAAAGAAATGACGAAGCCAAGAACCTCAAAACACCGTGCTGTGCTAAAGAAGACGTCAAACTAGCGATTGAGACCATAAACTCAAGAAAATGTTCACAAAACAGGCTCATTTTCTCGTAGACTTTCATATGATCTTTAGCAACCAGAGGAGTTGCCCCCTGCTGGACAGGAGACAAAATGCAGGTTTAAGACGCTTCCTGTGATTTGCTTCACTTTTCAGACACGGAGGCTACGTCCATCTTTTAGACATAATTTATGATTTTAAGTCTCTTTTACAATTATAGGAATCAAAGAATCGAACCAGGGGTGGACAGTTTGGCCTTACTTGTATTTTACTTCTCGATTCTCTGCAAATTTCAATGACAAAAAAACTGATCTAGTTTCCTGAGTCTAACTTTACGCTTTTGGCTCTTGGAAGTCACAAGTCCCATGGGAATATATATATATATGGCTTACTGCAAAAAATACCCTTTTTCCACAGCAGCTTTAGTCATAGTTCTGGCGTTAAGACCCAACATTATCTTGCTTTCGTCAGGCCGCCTGACCAATCAGAGGAGGAGGCGGGTCTTAAAGAGAAAGGAGCTAAAGATGAAGCTGCTGCAGAAATGCACATTAGAAAAATAGCTTTGTTTGAACATTAAAGCATGCAAATGTGTTCAAGTAGACCCCAAAATAAGATTAGAAATGTGCAAATCACTTCGACATTAGCTTCATTTTTCTTCTTGTTTGGAGGATCTTTCTTACATAGTGCATGAAGCTGGATGCGCTAATTGGCCAGAAACACCTGCTGGATGTGTAAATGAGCAACTCAAGAGGTGACTGCATGTCGGGTTTCCTGCATAAACTTTGCACATGAGTCCAGAAAAACTGCAAAATAAAATGCGTTCCGCCGCAGAGGAAAGAATCAAACTGGGATGATGCAGCAACCAAACAAAAGATGACGCCTTTCTTTTAACTTACGCTTAAATTTTGAGACATTTCTTTAATTGCAGACGCATCTAACGAACCTGCAGTAACACCTGGATCCTCTCCTGACACCAAAGTCAACTTAACCACCGTGTAAAATGCAATTTCTTCAAACATCACACTGCTCATTATCCTGCAAGACTTTTCCTCTCGCCACAGCCGAGCGTAAACGGAGACGCCCTGTTTGGAGGCCCGGCTCGCTAAAGAGTGTTTAAAACAGCTAATAATCCCAATCCACACCATCTACCCGTTACCAGTCCCTGAGTTATAGTAATCTGGATTAAAACATCTGGAACAGCCCCTCTTCTGTGCGAGATAAGCCGACGCAGCATCGCTTGAACCGAAACGCTCCTGCACTGCTTGTTTCTGGACTTTTTCCTACGGCGTCGACGTGTTGGCGTCGCCGAGAAGCTGCTGACCATCGCGGCGGTGACCGGGCTCGATTTCAGCCGGCGGGTTTTTTCGCGGTCGGCCGTCGCAGCTGGCTGTTTGCGAAGCATTACGTAGCCAGCGAGCCACTGACCTAATTCCACAAATCTGCTGGCCTAAATCACAGGGACTCTCCAAATAAATGTCCTGAGAGCTGCAGGGTTTAGCCACAGCACAGAGGTGTAGATGACACACAGGGATCGTAATGCAGCGAGCGCCGGGTGGCTGCTTCATCCTATCACTTATCACATAGTTTTACAGTCCCAAATTAGAATGTGTCGGTATTAGAGTAATCTTAGGGGTCAAAATATCTCTTGGGTTTTTTTCCTGTTACTGTAATTCCACTACCGAGGCTATTTTAGATGCCAGGGTGGAGAAAATAAGGCGAGAGGAACATAAATTCTTTCCTTTGTCCGGTCATTCAGCAGGTTGCAATTAACCATAAAACCTGTTGGTGCTGCAGCAAACTGAGCCGACACACAGCCCGAAGGTGATATTTACAAAAACGAGACGGTTTAAAACCCCTCATGGTTCAGCTGCACAGACACACGTGGGAAATAAAGGATGAGGAAGGTGAGAGCTCATGAGCAGGTTCAGGTGAGAAGACAAAGCCAGAAACAGCAGCGTCTAAGGTAAGGGGATGGACGGAGCAGTGGACGGTGGGTTCTCATGGATGTAGCTCAGTAAGCCAGCGGAGTGAGCACATCTGTCTGACTGACCTTTCTCGCTGACGCTTTCCATGTCCACGTCCTCACAGCTGGTGTACTCGGGCGTGGAGCCGCCCTCCTCCTCTGAGCTGCTGATGGACATCTGCCTCTTGTTGACTCCGCGCTTGCTCTTGTGTGTCCGTGGGGGGGGCGGCCGCAGAGACTCCGACTGGTCCGAGCTCTGAGAGTCCTTCCTCAGCAGGCTGTCGCCACCTTTGTCCCGAGGCGTCCGTGTGGGCTCCAGGCGGCCGTTGTTGGGGCCCCAGTCCGGAGGTCCCCCGGTTTGGGGCCCTGATCTCCCTCCACCTCCGGCCGGCGGCGCCCCCCCTCCCACGGTCCTATCCACGGGGTAGGCTCGGTGGTTCTCCAGGGGGACCTTGCGGTCACCCTCCCCACCGCCGCCCCTCCTGGCCAGGCGGTTCTCGGGCACCTCCCCAGCTCCGCCTCCCCCGCCGCCTCCCTCCAGTCCCACCTCGTTGATGGCGAGGTCGCTGTGCCGTCGCTCGTGCCTCACCTTGGACACCTTGGCGTGCATCCGCATCTCCTGCTCCTCCTTCTGCGGCTTCACCGGGTACCTGGCCAGGTTTGGGTCGCTGCGGTACCGGTTCTGGAATTCCTCCTCCCGCCGCTGACGCTCCCTCTGCTCCTCGTCGTCCGGGCGTCTCCGGTGCGACTCCGACCGACTCAGGCTCTCGTCTCCGTCCTCGTAGTCCTGAGAATGGATCTTCTCCAGCCGCCGTCCGTCTCCGAGTCGCCTCTCTCGTTCTGCGGGTCCGACCCGCTCGTCCAGGGACGACTGAGACTGGACCTTTCCAGCTGGTCTCCGGCCGCTACCACGTCCCATCCCTCCTTTACCATTCTGTTCATGGAGGGAAACCGGCCTTTTCCTGGAAGACAAAGAAAAGTCCTTTAACTCCTTTAGTCGACACAAACACATCGTCTGCTTTAAAACCGGTGAGAAAAGTAGAGATTTTGCTTCCTATAGTCACCAAATCTTGCTCAAATCCGAATTTTAGGCTCAGATTTGGTACGTTTTCCGACTATACTGACCAAATCTTATTAACAAACACGACTTTTCTTTTTTACTGTTGACTAACATTTAAATAAAACATCTAGAACACATTAATTTAAATAAAACATCACAGTTTCAGACTCAGATGCGGTACGTTTTTGGACTATATCTACCAAATCGTCTTCAGATTAAAAGCCCCCTAACACAGCTGAGACCGCGATGACTTCTTACCTAACTCCGCCAGCGAATGAAACAAAAGGGATTGAGTCAAAGACCTCTCAAGACTAAAACCTGTGACGTAGCTTCTCTGCTGGTTAAGCTACAGCAGACACAGATCAGTTCTTTTTTTATCTCCTGGATTAAAAAGTAACATCAGCTTCAGCAAATATACAAAAAAAAAAACTGGGTCCAAAGCCGTGTTCTGTAGCTTTTCCTCGATTTCTCTGAGCGGAAAGAGAAATCAGGTTTCCGTCCACCAGTTCAGATTATATTAACTCTCTGAACTCTGAGCAGCTTCTGGGGGTTTGGTTTTTTTTGCTCCGGTCACATTTTTACTCACTGTGTTCTCATTTTTTACAACAATATAAAGTCTTGCACCTCTATGGAAGCAGAACGACCACGACTAGAAGCAGAGAGAACGGCTTTTTGTGTAGCACGACATCTAATCTTATGGGACTTTTTTAAAATCCTAGTTGGTGTGACTTTTAGTTTCTGGCTTTGGGAGTTGAAATTGAAAACATTGATTTTTGTAATTTTTCTGAATGGTATAAACGTAATGGAAACAGCACAACTATAGCTAAGAGTAGAGCGAAATCAAAAGTGTTCTTAGTGTAGTTTGATGCAGTTATAACACCATAAAGAACAAAAAATAAACAAAGATGTCAAATGTCCGAAAGGTGTTACCGATAATAAAACCCCACATACTATAAATATTATTTACTATTTTTAAATTGTTTCCATGCTTAGACACAGCCTGCAGTTCAACCTACTTCTGCCTGAATATTTGTTATGTTGGTCACAGCTGATGGATTTAAGGTTTCTCCAAAAAGCACAGAACCTGGTTCGTGCCAACAGCTTACTGATGGTTAACTTTTAAATGAGCAGAAAAAACACATTTTAATTAAATACATCAGACTTGGTGCAGTTTTCACAAATCTGCTGGTTTTCTTTTTACAGTTTTCGGGTCAATTTGTAGTTTTGGTGATTTGGCAAAACCAACACAGCAGTTCAGACCAAAGCTTTTGTCACATGACCGTCAGAATCAGTCACAGCTTCTTGGTTGAGTCGTATTCTTTATAGAATCTGGGGCAAAACTTTTTTTTGACTTTTGGTCACAGCTGAGCGAGTGAGGGAGGAACTTTTTGCCTTTTAAAGAATCTTTTTAGTGCAAAATGTTTAACTTTTGAGATGATGTCAAAAAATGTGATTTTGATTAAAAAATACAGTCGTGACTCGATAATCTGACACTAAATGTAAAACCTTCTTTTATGTCGGATATCAAGGCTGTCGGATTGTCAAGACGGAGGTTCAGATACAAGGAGGGCTTGATTAGTTGTTAATATTTATTGTTCATAGTTGTTATAATAACTAGTAGGGCTGGTCCCAATAGCACTTTCTGCTCTCTGGATATTCAGGCCCAATTAATGATAAGTATTCAGCGCGGTCGGAGGACACTTCCACCCCAGGGTTGCGCTCCAATGAGGTGGAAGTGTCCAGAACACACAGGCAGTACTTGGCTGCTGATGCTAGTTTAGTTAGCGCTCACACTTCTGTTTCCTCCATCGATGGCGGCGGGGGAGTGGCAGATACGCTCCACCGTTACCATCCATGTTTACTTCCATAAACACTGAGCACGCTCGCTGCGTGTGACGTCGTCGTGTCCTCTTCTGCGCATGCGGGACACTTTTGGGTTGTATGAAGTTCACACAGCAGATCACATACAAGTCGCATTTAAGTGGAAACGTGAAGGAAGTCACAAAGAAATCCTCATTGAGCATCAAGTCCTGCAGTGTGAACGTAGCCAATCTGTGGGATTGTTCAGTCAGATAATACGCCGTCATCCTGATTGGTGACATTAAATGTCATGTCGGAGTCACAATCCAAGGCTGTCGCTATGTTTAGGCTGTTTTTAATGGGTTCTGTTCGTTTTTCCTGAAAACCTGCTGGATAGCAGGTTTAGGATTGTTAAGGGTCGGAGTCACGACTGCATAATGATTTCAAGCTTAGATTTGGTTGATTTTCACCACAAATGTTTGGTATTAAGTAACTGTTGGAACAATTCTTTCTCTGATAACTGGTGTAATATTTGTGTTTTTCCTAAACATGTCTTTTGAACACAGCAGCAGCAGGTTGTGGTGTTTAGTGTGTTGAAGTTACAGATGTTGTGTTCGGTTGACGCTCATCTTACTTTTCTCTCGGTGGTTCGCTTTGGGACCGAGAGCCCGGCATCGTGTCGGCCCCCTTGGCCGCGGTGACGCCGGCGGGCAGCTGCGACCCGTCCGGTGGCCCGGCGTTGACACTGGAGGGCGGAGCTTGGGACCTGGAGCGGATCAGCTTCCTGTCCCACTGGGCCTCACCTCCCGTGGCCGGGTCGGTCAAGGAGGTGCCCAGGCTCCCGGGCCGCACCCCTGAACCCGAAAACCATTCTCCTGATTTGGTGAGGATCTCCTGCTGCTTACGGCACAGGTTGCACACCCACATTACCTGCAGGGATCGGAGAAGGTGAAGCACATTAAAGCAGCACAACGACTGAGCAGCATGAACAACATTTACACAACACCAGTCAACTTTAGCACCAAGACAAACTTGTGGCAGCAGATTCAGTGTCTTTGTTTTGTCTGTCAACAGCTAATTTAGAAGAATATTGGTTCCCACATTTGCTTTTACCTCCTTCCTTTGCTACAGCTCATCAAATATTAAAGAGCACTCAGATATGACACACTTTGCTGCTTCAACACATCCGTTACCAGTGAACACAGCTTGGCATTTACAACAAAATAAACTGTCATGTAGCTCCAATGTTGGGATTTTTATGACTCTTGTTTATTATTTTTGCATGATGTTGGTGATTTAACAGAATAACAGATCTGTTATGGAGTTTACAGGCCCTCAAACAAAGCTGTAATATTATAAATGGAGACGAGGCGGCAACAGATAAATGACATTGTGCTGTTGTGTTCTACGATTCACTCGCAAACACAAACAGCGGTGATGTCGACGGACACGTACGCAATAAAATCCACCAAACCGAAGCCGCGGACGGCATCGGATACTCACATGTAGCCATGGCTACGGAACACCACCTCACTTCCACTGCACAGAAAAACAGGATTTATCTCCCTCCGTATTTATAATCCCGCCGGTTTATTTTGCAAAGAGAATAAATCCAAAGCGGAGTCGGGGAACGCGCTCGTATTCCGGTTGCAGAACTCAAGCTGGAAACCAAAAAAACACCACCTCTGGGACCCGTGGAAACCCCCCGAAATGTTGCTCGTTGACAGCCAGCGGGATGCACCGTTAGCAGGCAGTTTAGCGGTTAGCCTCCAGCGTGCCAGAGCGCATTCATCATGGCCTGATTGAATCCTAGTTGGCGCATGTCCAGACTAATCTAAAGTAAATCAGCCGCCCGCACGGCCCACAGCTGTCGGCCGGCCGCCCAGCCAAACACTGCAGCCTCTTTCTCTGCGAGTCTTCCTGCACCTCAGATTAGCAGTGGACAGTAATCCCTTCAGCTCCTCACCATTATTCAACTCATCATCAGCTGACAATAGCAGCTCGCAATCCATAACTTCTAACTTATAGCCCCCCTCCTCCTCCTCCTCCTCTTCCATCATGGAGATTAACGGCCAGATGAAACAGCTCCTCTTCTACCAGCAGAGCATGATGGGATGATTGCTCTACAGTGAAATTTACTCAAACAAATGCACCGTTTCTTCTTCACAGCTGGACGCTAATCTTTGACCACCAGTTTTATTCCATTTTCCTTTTTGACATTTCATTCACCGTCGAGGCTGTCGATGGGTTTCAGGCGCCAAACACCAAAAGTTCACCTGTCCGGTCAGATTTAAACATTCTTTAAACTGTATGAGGCACAGCTGGAGGATGAGTGGACTCCTCTAAGGGAAGACAATCTGCAGTTCATCCTGCCAGTTGGTCGAGTCACCCGCTGCTGACAGGAGGTTGTAGTCATAGGAGACATGTCTTTTAAGAGGCTCCACCTGGTGGCGCAACCAGGTACTGCAAGGTGTGAGCCTCAGGTAGTAGATGGGCACCACTGGGTGGGGGAATTTGGGGGAACTGGGTGGAGTGGGTTCTGGCAAAGTCCCGAAGCTGAAAGTATCTGAAAAAGTTGGATTTGTTTCATCCAAAAGTCTCACATAATTGGTCAAAGCTGGCGAACTGGTTATCTAAGAAGAAGTTACGTAGCATGTACATTTAGGGTCCGTTTTAGCAGGTAAAGATAGATGGTTGTTACGAATAGGGGTCAGATTTAAACGTTCTGTCTTCGGCAATTTTTAAACATTTGTGAGCTTCGCAATATTTTGAAAAATACATGATCCAGTACCGTGTCCAGAAAAAAACACGGGAGAATATGGGTGCAACAGGAGAAGCTAACAGCATGAAAACCAAGAAGTCTTTCCAGAGTGGTCACATTGTAACTCACTGTAGGTTCATTTCTCACTGCAATATAAAGTCCTGCACTTCTATGGAAGCAGAACCATGAAGACAGAGAAAAGGCTGTCTTTATTGCAGTGCGATGCAGTTGTAATACCATTACAAAACCTGTAATCAACACATACAGAACATTGGTGTCCACTGGTGTCACCAATGTTGTTGCAGATATGTCACTCATTCGGTTTGTAAGGTTTCTATAAACATGTTTCACCATGCTGAATGTATCGTCCAACAACGTGCTCCTCTGGTCACTGTTCCTGAACCATGTCGCATTTATTCTATTGATCCAGTAGGTTTGATTTTCCTCTCAGTCTCTCAGATTTTTTGGTTTCCTCTCTGCTCTGTGGAAACACTGAAAACTCTCTGACTTTTTGCGAGGAGCTCAGAATTTGTAGTTTGTACCAGTCTGATCAGTGCAAACTTTTGGCTAATTTTAAAATGACACATGTAAAGCTGAATCCCTTACGTGCTGAGAAAAGTTTTTGTAGTTTACAGGATAAATGTTTGCTATCTGTTCTAGTTTTGGTCTATTTTTTATTGGGTTTAAACTAACTCTTTTTTGTTTCCATGGATTTTTCTAATTATTAGCTTAACACAACAGGAAAAAATAAATAAAAATGACAGGTCAACACAGCTGGGAAATCAGCGTTACTGCAGCAAAATGGGAAGAAAAAAACATGAAATACTGTTGATATTATGCAGTGCAATTCTTTTATATGAGGAAATGCACACCGATATTAACAGATGCTATCAATACCGCACAGATTCTTCTATATGTAGAAAAAAGTTCTTATTTTAGAGTATTTTAAACGTACAAAGTACAAGTTTAAATGATGGTGCACTACACCACATTACATTAAAAACTGTTCACTTCTTACAGTGTAGTGTCAATAAGCACCCTCTCCAGGCTTTAAATAAGTAAAACAATGCATTAATTTTTCAGAACACAATGTGTAAGACGTGACTTTTCCCGAGTCACGACCTAAACGCAGCTCATGAGCGTCTATAGGCTCCTCTGCTGCCGCTGAGCAAACGCTCTGCAGCCTAATCCTTGAATGAGATCATCATACGGACGAACAAACATCCACTGTTTGTGTCTGAGAGTCTAAAAGCAGCTTCTCATTATCTAATAAAACGCCTCCGTCTCTCCGTATCTGCAGCTTTATGCGCAACTTGCTGAACATACAAACACACATGCCGAGGATGTAACGCCTAATCCTTCTGTGCGCTGAAAGACACCGAAGGGAATTAACCGTGTGTGTCATTGTGTTCATATGATGCTACAGCTGTGTGTGTGTGTGTGTGTGTGTGTGTGTGTGTGTGTGTGAGACACGTGTGGTCGCCGGCTGAACCGTCCAATCAGCTCGCTCTGTCCAGAGGCAGCCCACTGTGGTGCCGCCTCCAGCTCACTGCACATGTGTGTTACTGTACATGCTACTGTACATGTTACTGTGTGTTACTGTAAATGCTACTGTACATGTTACTGTACATGTTACTGTGTGTTACTGTACATGCTACTGTACATGTTACTGTACATGTTACTGTGTGTGTTACTGTGTGACTTACTGTACATGCTGTTGTACATGTTCATTACTTTCTTTCTTCTCTCGTTTCATTCTTCTCACCTCCATGTTTCCATATTTCCTTTGAAATTCTCTCATTGTCATTCCTTTTCTTCCGTTATTTCTCTCCTTATTTCTTTTCTTTTTACTTTCCTTGGTTTGACTCACTTATCCATTTTACTTTTCATTTCCTCATTTCCTTGTGCCTTTCCTTTCCTTTCTACCTCTCCCTATTTCCTTTTCTCTTTCTTCCCTAATTCCTTTTCCTATTTTCTTTCTCTTCAGCTTCTTATCCCCTTTACTTTTCTCCTGTCCTCTTCCTAAGTTTTCTTCTTTCCCTTTCCTTTCTTGCTCTCTTTTCCTTTGCTTCTTCCCTCTCTTTGCTCTTCTTGTTTTCTTTTCCTTTCAACTCCTTGTTTCCTTACCTTTTTTCTCATTCTTGCTTCCTACCTGTCTTCATTTCAATCTTTTCCTTTCCTTTCCTTTCCCTTTGTCCTCTCTTCGAGCTGCTTCTCCCTCTTTTTCCTCCTTTCCTTTCCTGTCATCTCTTCCTTGCTTCCTACCTGTCTCCATTTTAATCTTCTCCTTTCCTTCCTCTTCCTCCTTTCCTTTCTTGCTCTCTTTTCCTTTGCTTCTTCCCTCTCTTTGCTCTTCTCTTTCTTGCTTCCTACCTGTTGTTTCAATCTTCTCCTTTCCTTTCATCTCTTCCTTGCTTCCTACCTGTCTCCATTTCAATCCTCTCCTTTCCTTTCCTCCTCTCTTCCAGTTGCTTCTCCCTCTCTTTCCTTTATACCTTTCCCTGTCCTAATTCCCTTTCCTTGATTCTTTTCCTTTCACTATTTTCTTTATCTTTAGCTTCTTATCACCTTTTCTTTTCTCCTTTCCTCTTCTTAAATTTTGTTCTTTCCCTTCCTCCTTTCCTTTCTTGCTCTCTTTTCCTTTGCTTCTTCCCTCTCTTTGCTCGTCTCTTTCTTGCTTCCTACTTGTCGTTTCAATCTTCTCCTTTCCTTTCCTTTCCTTTCCTTTCCTTTCCTTTCCTCTTCCCATTGCTCCCTCCTTCTCTTCCCTCCTCTCTTTTCCCTTCCATCCCTCGTCTCCTTTCCCTGTCTCCTCGCCTCCTTGCTCAGCCGACTCGCCAGATGAAGACGCCACAGACGCGTCACTCATCGCCTCCACCTCCTCGCCGCCCGTTCAAGCGCTTCCCTTCATCGCCTTCACTGTTCCACCAGCAGCAGGATTCATTTAGGCCTGAGCTGTGTGAACACCAGCTTTTCCTTAAATAGGCAGAATAGATGGCGCTTGTTGGGGGGATCGGTCGGCGAGCAGCGACCCGCCCTCCAACACAAACCCCCGGACAGGATGACATACGAGGTGCGGGCCGCCATCGCTCACGGCGACGCTAAATCCTGAACGCCGGGAAGAAAGACGACCACAAAAGACATAATGCTCCATTTCCCCTAATAAGGC